AAAAAAAAAAAAAAAAAAAAAAAAAAAGAAATGAATAAAAGTCGAAAGTTCTCAGAATACGTTTTAGCATCATCCACATTTATCCTAATAAGACATCCCTAAATTAGCGTTAAACACTTAGAGCATCTCCAATGTGACTTTTGACATTGCAAAAAATTATCCATATCATCAACTTTTGAAAGTTTATTACTAATTTATTCTCCAATGCATCTTGTCATTAGCTCTTTCATGATGATGTGGATGGCATTTAATGTTAACAATGTTGAACTCACTTTCTAATATCTAACACCATGTTAAACATGATGACTCATTAATTCACTTTATATTTGGTTTAATTTTTTATTATTCTTGTATTAATGAATTATTATAATTGGTCCACCTATACAAATAAATTCTTATCAAATTGGTGCATTGGAGATACTAGTTTGATTCAAATTTTTAGTCTTTTAACATTATTCTTATGTGGATTAACATTACAATCATCAATTGACATGTGTTAAAAATTATTGCCTTTCAACACCATAGCATTAGAGATGCTCTTATAACTCGTTAGTTAAATACGCTTGAAAACAAATATAAATATGAATTTTTATTTATTGGGTATGTGATCTTTACTTTACTCTATTCACAAACATCCATATTTTCATTAAAAACAACCATAATTTTAATAATAATATAAATAAAATACGACTCTAGATAGTATAATGAATGCATTTTTCATACATAGTGACTTTTACCCATGTTTTAAATACTATATCGTACCGGTCGGTAGTACGATACTTTTGAATACTGGTGGTCCTGTCGGTACGGTAATCCTTTAAATACCATTTTTTTCAAAATACTGATTTTACCAATAAATACTAACCAAAATAGCGATTAAAAGACCACGGATACCGGATTTTAAAAGAATATTTTTTTTTTATTATATTTTTCACATAAGTTGAAAGTTATACACAACTTTGATATGTTTACATTATTACTAGATTTTAATCAATTTTAGTATTTATTATATGCGATTTATGTACTATTTATATAATAATAAATTAAATTAATATTTATTAAAACCGATAAAATAAGTTGTAAGGTGGTTGAACTGTGTACCGGTGGCTCGTCCGGTATAATCGCTGTTAGGGTATCCAAAACACCGCAATTTCACCCGTCTCACACGGGCCTTCCGACAAATTTATGTTCTGTTTCTTTTATCCTCTCTTCTTGCCGTCGTTTTCGAACTTCGCTGGTAAATTATCGGAACGCCCAAGGTCACCGAGCCAATTAATGACATAAATAGTCACCTTTAAAGATTTTTAAATTATGTATATATATGTATATACTATTTTTAATTTACAAATTTAGAATAAAAAAGTTATATTAAATTCTTATTAGTAGTGTACAACACCCATATAATACTCAAGTGTTAATTAAAAAAGTTATATTTATGAAATAAAAATTTTAAATTAAATTTTTTATTTACAATTTTAATATTTTATTTTAAACTTGCAGTATTACTTTATTGATTCATTTATATATAAATAGATTTACTTTTTATATATGTAATATGGATATCAAACGAAAAATCGTCAAGAAACAATTAATTTAGTATATTATATGTGAAAAATAAACAATAAATAAAAACGTTATTAAATTTATATATTTATAATTTAAAGTGATTAAGTGTTTATACTCTTAAAAGCCATGGATAAAAAAGTACAAATTTAATTACTCAAAACAACCACGATTTAACACATGGATTACGAAACCCAATGAAACACATAAGAATACTAACCGCATAACTCGAGAAACTTGCAATTTATATACATGGAGGGACATCTCAAATATTAATTATATTCATATAATATCTCACTATAAAGATCTAACATATTAATTTATAATACAACACTCGTGCATTGCACGAGTGATAGAGATCGGATAGTTGAGTGTTTACAAATATTTGTATATTTTAGGTTTATTTTTAAAAAAAAATTGTATACATATAAATAAATCTATATTTATATAAAATAAAATAAAATAAAAATATATCTTTAATTAATAAATATAAACAAGTTTAATTATATTAAATTAATATTCGCAATGGCTTAGCATTTAATAAAACTTATTTAATAAAACCTCTAATAGTTTTTCCGCAAAAAACCGCTATAATTCACTTTTATCATCTATATATATAATTACTAACAAAAATATTAATAAATCTATTTGTTGTTTCCCCTTTTTTTTGTTACAATTCAATATTATTATTATTATTATTATTGTTGTTGTTGTTGTTATGATGCAGCCTATCTCATTAATGATAAAATATCCCCTTACACTTTTTTTTGGGTTGGGTTGATTAAGACAAAAATCGTTATATTTTATATTAATTGAGTAATAATTGTATTTTTTTATTTATCATATAATATTATTATTTAATTATATTTTACACTAAATGATCTATGAAAGTTACATAAATATAAATATACAATTTATTTTAACCAATACTCAAATTTTAAAACATAATATCATTATCTAACTTATAATTTTATAATATTATATACATAAATATAACTTATAATACTCTATTTTAGAATTTAATATTATTATTTAACTTAAAATTTTAATATTATATGAATATAAATAATTTATAATATTTTATTTAATGCACGTGGTCGAATATTAGTTATTGATAAACCACGTGTTTGTTTATGAAATATTTCATTCAAAATGAGTTATTTTAGTTAATTAGAGTTAATTTTGAAAAAGATAGTATGGTTAATTGTTAGTGAGATTTTAAGAATTTATTAAAATAATATTTAAAATAAAATGATTAAAATTGATTAGATGTAAAAGTAAGAGATAAATGATTGGAAATGATTAGAAATGATAGATAGTTAAAATTATATGAGTGGATGAATAGTGAATTAAAGTTGATGTGATGTGTAAGAATGATTGGTTTGTATTATTTAATTATATGAATAATATTAAAGACAATGAGATTGAGTTAAAGTTGAGTTAGATTTTGAGTATGAATTGGATTGAAAATGAAATAATATGTAAAGAAGCATGCCATAATTATTTGATCGAAAAAGAGATTTTGTTCACTTTTGTCGACTCAACAGTTTTGCCCATATCTCGTGTGCAACTCTGTTACCTCACGTCGTCCATCGATGGCGGTGCCGTTTTTCAATCTCGCGCCCGACATGGCCGTCTCAAGGCTCTGCTTAGGTCTCAGACCCTTTCACCATTCTTAGCATTTCTTAACTTGCATGTACTTCGCGGGATTTATTTTGCTGTCGTCTTCCAATTGACCAGGCTCGATGACTTTCGGCGAGCAGAACTCCTTTCCTCAGTCTCTCCAGCTGCTCGACAGAGCCTTCGAATCTGGAATCAATTTCTTCGACTCTGCCGAGATGTGCGGCTCTACGTATACTCTGGCGTTTGTACTTTGAGTCGCTGTTTTGTCTCTTTGTTCATTTGCTTTTGATTTTGGTGTAGGTATCCGGTGCCACAGCGTCTGGAAACCCAGGGAAGGAGTGAGGAATATTTGGGGCGGTGGATTAGGTCGAAAAAAATCCCGCGTGACCGCGTGGTTCTTGCTACAAAGGTTTGAACAACTTGGTTGAGCTGCTCTGTAATTCTTCGTTTTGCAATGTAGTATGTTATATTATTAAGATGTCTGACATTATTACTATTATTATAATTAGGATTAGGACTAGGATATGCCTGCTTATATACATAACTAATGTTCTTTTTGGTTGTCTAAATGCGAAGGTTGAGTAGTTTCAGGTTAATGCTGATCACCTAAATTTGTCTCCAATTCATATCCCAGAAGTTGTTAAGTAACCAATTATTTGGAGAATGGAGTTTGTATTGTACTACTCTGTGGTGGAGCGTAAATTGCTGGGTTGGGATTGATTGTAGCTTGAGATTTAACTGACATAGTTTCCGAACAAAGATTGGTTCTGAGCTTGATTTGTGGGGACGGTTGGCTGTAGTCTTTGGATATTGAACTTAAACAGTGTCGAAAAGATATTGGTATGGATATGAAGTTTGTGGATATGGTAGGTAGAACTTGCACACCTTGTGCTTGAAAGCTGCAGGTATGTTGATATAAATCTGTTAGCCTAGTTCATGCTATGTAGTTTGACCATTTGAAACAATCTTTTATGTCCATCTACAATGTAAATTGTGCATTAGCTTTTCAAATTCTCTCCCTTCATGTTAACTCACATCACCTAGCTAAATGCTCATATTATCCTATTAGACAGGACCATGAACGACTTGCTAGAACCAAGATCATAGCTGTTGTTGTATTGTGCCTAATCGTTAGGCTGGCTGACTCTTTGTAGTCTTCAAATGAAAATGCTTATTAATATTGTGTAATGTCATACTTTTGTTTACGCTAAAATATGACGTTTATGCATCTAACTATAGAAGCATGCACAATTATTGAAAAAGTATGCCTGCCTACGGTTAGGTCTGCCGGACAAATACCTTGCCGGACCTAGATATACCAATGGAATATGAACAATATTTGATGATTAAGTTTCTGGATGATTTTTCATTTTCTTTCTTAATAGAATATGATATTGGTGATGTTGCTGATCTGCTGTTAATTTGTCGGTTGCCTGGATAAACGTTGGCAAAACCATGTGTAATTGGGACTTGGGAGGAGATAGGTTAGTGGGCCATCGGGGCAAATGACGTGGATTCGAAATGGACCAGAAAGCCTTGATGCCAAGAATATAGCTGAGGCACTTGATAACAGGTTGAACTAAGTGATGCTTTTCTTTAGATTTAAATATATACGGTCACTGATAATAATTTTGTCTTCTTTCAATTTCTTCACTCCGATACATTGGGGTTGTTTTGACTCGGTTGTTCGGGCATGAACTCTCAGACGAGATATGTTTTTGCAGTTTGCTTCGCCTGCAAAGTGACTACATTGACTTGTATCAAATTCATTGGCCTGACCGGTTTGTACATTGCCCCTGTCTTGTATCCTCCGCTCAGTAAAGATAAGAATAATGTGTTACAATAAGTATACATTTTCAAAGAGCTGCGTGTCTATTGAGCCGCATATCTCTCGAGTTGCAGATGAACTTCCATAAAGTACATCAAACTTATCACTGGATTGTTTACATCCTGACAAAGATTTTCCTCCAGATACGTTCCTATGTTTGGAGAAACTGAGTATGACCCGTCCCGAAACTTTTCTTCTGTCAGTTTTGAGGAACAACTTGGTGCACTCGACAAAGCTGTTAGTGCTGGTAAGGTCAGTTTAGTTGATTGGGCAGTAAACTGCTTTATCAGTTAATATATGACAACCGTATTATTGTATATAGTCTAAATAATATTACTTGCAGGTAAGATATATTGGGCTGAGTAATGAAACTCCATATGGTCTCATGAAATTTCTCCACGTTTCTGAGAGCGTCATCAATGCTAGAATAGTATCTGTGCAGGTGCGTTATTGTTGAAATCTGATTGTGGATAGTGTATTTTTTACTACAGCTCTCTCTCTCTCTCTCCCCCACACGCGCACGCACACACACACATCACACACAAACAAAAACTAAAACTTAAATAACTTATTTGTTTTCAGAACTCTTATAACCTTCTTAATCGAAATTTCGATGCCGGGATGACCGAGTGTTGTCATCACGAGAGGTATTAATTTTGAACTCTTTTCTGAATGTGCCTTATCATGTGTCAGTATCACAAGCATGGAACATTGTTGAATCTTGTAGAACCTTAATATTTAGAAAAGTGGAGGGTTGTCATTTAAATGAATTCTGAGATTTTTATTTGGATAATTAGGAATCAATTTACAAAAAAAAAAAAAAAGGTTTGATTTTTTTTAATGAGAATTTTCAAGTCAATTTCAACCAAATGGAAGTTATTTATGCTTCTAAGCTTGATAATATTACATCTAAAAAAGTATACGGAGTGCTGCAGTGTATTGGCCACCAGTGTTGACATCAATTGATTTGTCTTTAGGGTATTCTTATTGGCCTACAGCCCTTTGGCTATGGGCATCCTCTCTGGGAAGTATCTCTCACTTGATGGATGCCCAGCAGATGCTCGCTTGAATCTTTTTAGAGGTTTTTCTGTTCATCTTTTCTGGAATTGTTTACTTGCCACTTGGGATTTCATTAGATTGTTTTACGGTGTATTTTACTATTTTCTAGGGAGGTATGCTGAAGGGGAGTCAAGATACAACTTGTCTAAAGATGTCACTAGAAAAGCCACTGAAGTAAGCAAACATCTGATAATATATTATTCCTATGACTATGATACATCTAACAATGCAATGCTTGTTAACATGGACCTGGTGTCCAAATCTCTATCTCTATTTAATACCAAATTACAAATATTCATATAGATTCACCATGTGAAAATACTCCTAAGAAGTTTGTCGTTCAACTCTTTTTGTCTTCACACAAGTTGCCCATTTGAGATTTTTTACGGTTTATTAGTGATGCAGTGCTACATCTTTCTGATGTTTAGATCATAGATGTCTCGCAACTTTCTTGAAATATATGGGTATATTGCAATTGTTTACAAGATTTTGAAGTATTGGTTGATGGTGCTCTATGCTTATGGAGATTCGACATGTAGAGAAACTATGATTTTTCTTAGATATGATGCTTAGTTGCATGGAACACATATTTAATAGATATTCACTTATTGCCACTTTAATTGTGTGTTGCAGTTATATATTTCCATTGCAAAAAAGCATGGTTTTCATCCTGTATCACTCGCAATAGGTACAACAAGTTTGTAATATGCTCACATTCTAACCCTATAAGTTTTCACGTATGCTTTACGCTACTGACTGATTTCCATGGTGTCGCTGTTGAATCTGCTTTTTGGTACTTTAATCAACATTTATCTCTCTTTTT